CCCATATTGTAGTTGTCAAAAATGGATTTGTTGTCATCTTTTGGTTGAAAAGGTAAAAGGTCAGTTGTGAAACATCACAACTCGGGCAACAACATTTCCCACTTGTAATTCCGACTTGGAGGGTCATTCAAGTGAAACTTCCAAGTCGGAACTTCCAATATCTCTGATAGCACGTGAATGCAGAATAAATCCAGTATATCTGGCTTCTGTCATGGCCACCATCATTTATTGAGGAGCAAGGTAAAAAACGAGGCCAAATCAGTGGGTGCAGTTCCCCTTTAAAGTATTAATTTTGTAGACATAGTAAAATAACTGTAGACAGAGCCACCGTGAAATGTGTGGCGAGACAGCATTTGCCCCAGTACCTTTCAATCTGGTGGCACCACTTTAAAAGCAACAGCACTGAACGCATTTACCAGACATATTCATTTATTCACGTCATAGAAAAACAAATAAAAGCAGTTTAATCGTCCTCTAAAACTAGCTCGAATTATCCCGTCTATAGCTAGCTAACAAAACTACTACCATTGGCTTTACTTGCCTAGCTGGATAGCTAGCTAGGTTGATGCAATCATGCAGCCAGCAGCTAACGTTAATCATTTAGATTCACTGCTGCTACCCAAGGCCAAGGGATAGTTCCTGAAAAGGTTAGTCGGCCAGTTTGTTAATCCAGTAATGTTGGCATATTATTTTATTTCCACTGCTTGTGATTTTTCACAAATGTTTGTGGTGCAATTTCACTGTCTTAAAAGTAAAAAACCTACAAATTCTGCCACAGTCTACACAGAGAATATGAACACATGTCCAACCATAGCAGATGGATGGCTAATTCAGAAATAGAGAATTGATGGATTCTAGCACCACCATAACTTTCACAAATACAGAAACAGGCAGCCATCATGGCATCAGTATTTTTTGACTAGCTAGTGAATAGTGACACCTACTCATATGAACTGGTAATGCAGGTTTGATTAGAATAGAGTGCAATAGAATGAGTGACATTCAATAAAATCTACTTTATGAAAAGGTGGATATTATTTTCAATTAAAACGTTGAAAGTAGTTGATTTAATTAGTGAATTTATGGATTCAGTTGCAATCAGTTCCAATGAGCGCCAGTGAACCAAGCTTAAAGGTTTTATGACTTACACATAAAAAAAACTATGTTACAAAGTATACTGTGTATAGTGTTAATTGTAACCCTGCCTTGTTACAACGTCTACTGTGTATAGTATTAAATGCAACCCAAATAATAGATTTTATGACATAAAATTAAAATACTTTTCTACATTGAAAGTCCACTGCTTAACATTGTTTGTCTGGCTAACCAGACTCCTTGCTCTGGCCAAACGCTACCCCACACACACAGACATTAGTTTCTTCTAAAGTATTTTAATGATGACAGAGAAGCGTAATAATTTAGCGTGAGTAGTCAGGCTATAAAATTGTGTGTGTGTATAGAGTGAAATTAATATTTAAAGACAACCACGTTTCCATCCACAGTTTTTATGCGAGTGAAGTCATACCATATTTTAAAAAATCATGACATCTGATGGAAACAGGAAGATTCGGTACAATTTTATAAATGCCAACAGATAATTTGTTAGTTCGACACGGTGGGATCTTTTTGTGTTGGTAAAATGTATAATCAGAGAAATTGTGGTGTAAACGCCTTTATGTGCAAATATTGATATAATAACCATCATATGGAAGTAAACTTGGAGTCACGGGATGACATGGTGTGTGGTCCTCCCACTACGACTCAGGAAACCATGCAGTTCCGAGGCAGGATTGTGTCGAGGCACAGATCTGGGAAAGGGTACCAAAACATTTCTGCAGCATTGAAGGTCCCCAAGAACACAGTGGCCTCCATCATTCTTAAATGGAAGAAGTTTGGAACCACCAAGACTCTTCCCGCCCGGCCAAACTGAGCAATCGGGGGAGAAGGGCCTTGGTCAGGGAGGTGACCAAGAACCTGATGGTCACTCTGACAGAGCTCCAGAGTTCCTCTGTGGAGATGGGAGAACCTTCCAGAAAGACAACCATCTCTGCAGCACTCCACAAATCAGGCCTTTATGGTAGAGTGGCCGGACGGAAGTCACTCCTCAGTATAAGGCACATGACAGCCTGCTTGGAGTTTGCTAAAAAGGCACCTAAAGGACTCAGACCATGAGAAACAAGATTCTCTGGTCTGATGAAACCAAGATTGAACTCTTTGGCCTGAATGCCAAGCGTCACGTCTGGAGGAAACCTTGCACCATCCCTACGGTGAAGCATTGGGGTGGCAGCATCATGCTCTGGGGATGTTTTTCAGCGGCAGGGACTGGGAGACTAGTCAGGATCGAGGGAAAGATTAACGGAGCAAAGTACAGAGAGATCCTTGATGAAAACCTGCTCCAGAGCGCTCAGGACTTCCGACTGGAGCGAATGTTCACCTTCCTACAGGACAACGACCCTAAGCACACAGCCAAGACAACGCAGGAGTGGCTTCGGGACAAGTCTCTGAATGTCATTGAATGGCCCAGCTAGAGCCCGGACTTGAACACGATCTAACATCTCTGGAGAGAACTGAAAATAGCTGTGCAGCGACACTCCAACATGACAGAGCTTGAGAGGATCTGCAGAGAAGAATGGGAGAAACTCCCCAAATACAGGTGTGCCAAGCTTGTAGCATCATATCCAAGAAGACTCAAGGCTGTAATAGCTGCCAAAGGTGCTTCAACAAAGTACTGAGTAAAGGGTCTGAATACTTATGTAAATGTGGTATTTCCGTTTTTTATTTTTAATACATTTGCAAAAATTTCTAAAAACCTATTTTTGCTTTGACATTATGGGGTATTGCGTGTAGATGAGAAGAAAAAAAAACAATTTAATCAATTTTAGAATAAGGCTGTAACGTAACAAAATGTGCGAAAAGTCAAGGGGTCTGAATACTTTCCGAATGCATTGTATAATCAAAATATACAACAATAGACAATATAATGCTAATATTACATCAGATGTCCTTTGGTCCTACAGTATCTGACATCTGAAGAGTCGGAGTAAGGAAATCAGTCAATTGAAATAAATTCATTACGCCCTAATCTATGGATTATGACTGGGAATACATATATGCATCTGTTGGTACAGATACCTTTAAAAGAAAAGTAGGGGCGTGGATCAGAAAACCAGTCACTATCTGGTGTGACCACCATTTGCCTCATGCAGCTCGACACATCTCATTTGCATAGAGTTGATCAGGCTGTTGATTGTGGCCTGTGTAATGCTGTCCCACTCCTCTTCAATGGCTGTGCGAAAGTTGCTGGATATTGGCGGGAACTGGAACACGCTGTCATACACGTCAATCCAGAGCATCCCAAACATGCTCAGTTGGTGACATGTCTGGTTAGTATGCAGGCCATGGTGGAACTAGGACATTTTCAGCTTCCAGGAATTGTGTACAGATCCTTGTGACATGGGGCCATGCATTATCATGCTAAAACATGAGGTGATGGCGGCAGATGAATGGCACGACAATGGGCCTCAGGATCTCGTCACAGTATCTCTGTGCATTCAAATTGCCATCGATAAAATGCAATTGTGTTCGTTGTCCGTAGCTTATGCCTGTTCACAACGTTGACGTCAGCAAACTCCTCGCCCACACGATACCATACACACTGTCTGCCATCTGCCCGGTACAGTTGAAACTGGGATTCAAACATGAAAAGCAAGTGTGCCAGTAGCCATCGAAGGTGAGCATTTGCCCACTGAAGTCGGTTACGAAGCCGACGGACGACGAGCACGCAGATGAGCTTCCTTGAGATGGTTTCTGACAGTTTGTGCAGAACTTCTTCAGTTGTGCAAACCCAGTTTAATCAGATGTCCGGGTGGCTGGTCTCAGACAATCTCGCAGGTGAAGAAGCCGAATGTGGAGGTCCTGGGCTGGCGAGGTTACACGTGGTCTGCGATTGTGTTCGGTTGGACGTACTGCCAAATTCTCTAAAACGACGTTGGAGGCGGCTTATGGTAGAGAAATTAGCATTACATTCTCTGGCAAGAGCTCTGGTGGACATTCCTGCAGTCAGCATTCCAACTGCATGCTCCCTCAACTTAAGACATCTGTGGCATTGTGTTGTGACAAAATTGCACATTTTAGAGTGGCCTTTTGTCCCCAGCACAAGGTGCAAATGTGTAATGATCATGCTGTATACTCAGCTTTTTGATATGCCACACCTTTGATATGCCACACATTCTTTTGGCAATGGAGAAATGCTCACTAACAGGGATGTAAACAAATTTGTGCAGAACATTTCTGATAAGCTTTTTCCATGTATGGAATATTTCTGGGATCTTTCATTTCAGCTCATGAAACATGGGACCAACACTTTACATGTTGTGTTTATATTTTTGTTCAATAATAATATTTTGTCATACTGTAGCCTAAGAATATAGGACCCCGAGTTTTACCTGACCAGGTCGAGATCAGGAAAAACTCCAGGCCCCAGAAAAGACACATACGAATTTTGCCACACCTCTTTCAAACCTGTGGTGAAACTGACTGTAGAATATTACAATGCAGCCTTTGATTTATGATGAAATGTGATTAGTCATCTTATTTCTATTATTTAGATGTGTACAGTGGTTTTGTAATGTGTTCTTGCCTGACTTTTCCACACAAAAAAAAAGTGTTTCAAGGAGAATTGATGCTGCCTGCAAGCCAAGCATCCCCAAAGGTGAGCACTTGAACCATATTAAATTTCACTACAGAAATTCTAGAAAGAGTCTGGAACCTATTATTTGCACATATAGGTAGGCTACACAACAAAATTGGCCAAAGCTATACCATCTGCAACAAACGCAATATGACAATTCTCATCTCTTGGTTATATTCTATTTGCTATTTATGGTAAGCACTTGCATACAGATCAATACCTGAGTGGGAAAGCTTTTTTTACTCAATTCTTGATATCAACGTGTAAATGAGACACTTGATCAGTTAAATACAAAGAATAATATTTTATTATTCAATATTACATTTATAAACCGCATTATTTGTGGAGTCAAATGCTTCAGGGTCAGCGTAATGTGCTAACATAACAGTGAACAAAATGGTCGTAGCTAATGTAACCACGCTACAGAACGAAAGAAGTGAAGACAGGAGTGTGTGTTGTTGGATACAGGGTGTATTGAATGCATTCACCCTGAATTGAAACGTATCCTATCCTCACACAAAGTGAAAACAGGTGATGTGAAAGACCAGTTTGATTTATGTTGATTTCTTCTGCTTCTTCTTCTCTGCCTCCTCTTCTTTCTCCTTCTCGATTTCAGCCACAAGGGTTTCAATTTCTTTAGACTCCAAAAGCTGAGAGAGAAAGATGTACAAAACAGGAAATGATTTCAAAAGACATCCATCCAGAGAATAAGTCAGTTAACTGCTGTTGAGCTATTAGTGTGTGTACCTTCAGTGGCTGATTTCTCCTGATCACAGCCAGCTCAATGTTCTTTCCTCCTGACTGGACGACCTGTGAGGATAGGGTCAGGAGGTTAGCATGCTGTTGTTCATTACCATCAACCACCATTAGTGACTTAGTTGCACGATTCACACTATAGGACCGACCCAAACCATATTGTGCCGGCGCAGATATTTTCGTTTCACATTGTCCTTTCCAGCAACTATAGTGGATGCGTAATCAGGCCAGCCCAGTACAGCTCGCCTTGGCCATATAGTGTGGATCAGGCAAGTGCTGGTGTTTGCACTAGCCTACCTCCAACAGGGCTTTGATGGCCAGCTTTATAGCCTCGTTGTCAGTGGCGATGGACTCGTCTGTGTAGTTCTTCTCCAGAAACTCCCGGACAGTCTTTGCACTGCGACCGATGGCATTAGCCTGCAGAAGAGTAGATGGAGAGGTTACCAACAACAAATCAAGTAACCTTACAAAATAGTTTGACTGATTTAAACCACAAATCCAAGGCAATTTACAACACCATTTCTTACAACAACAAAAAAAATAGGTTAAATAAAGCCAGTATTAGTGTGGGCATGTGTGTTCTGCTTTCTACTCATAAAGCCAGATATGAGGCCACTGTCTGCCACACACCTTCCAGGCATGGTATGTTCCAGACGGGTCGGTTTGGTATAGCCGTGGCGTTCCGTCGTAGTCGAAGCCCACGATTAGAGCAGAGATACCGAAGGGTCTTCGTCCGTTACTCTGTGTGTAGCGCTGGAGGCGTGTTAAGAGAGAGATACATTCTTAATCAAGGGGTTTGACTGTGTGAGAAAATGCCTTGGTCATGTTCATTTGTCACCAAATGGAAGAAAACTGAAACAGGGATGACTACCACTACCTGGACACTACCAATAAGAAAGTCATTTTTATTTTCTGTTGGAAAGTGTTTCACTACAGTGTGCTCCAATGAACACTTGAGCTGAGTGATTGAGTGTGGCAATGACTCATGTTCATACCAGTGTTTCGGTGCAGCCTACCTGTTTGAGTGTAGCGATGTGGCGTGTGATGTACTCCACCGTAACAGGGTCCTCTACTGTGAGCCTGTGGCTCTGACACTCTACCCTGGCTCTGTTGATAACTATACGAGCATCTGCTGTCAGACCTGGAAGGTCAGGAGAGAGACAATATCAGTCACAACATCATACATTTCAGGCCTGTTATTCAACACCAACACAAAACACCTGCGCTTCCACAAAATAAAAAGCAGGCCTTGCATCTGAAATCCACAGCAGAGGCTAAATGATAACGATAACTAATCAAATTACCTGCAAATGCCATGCACACATGATCATCCAGTGCACAGATCTTGCGTACAGTCCTCTCCTCTTGGAGTTTAGCGACAGACTTTTTCTCAACACCCAGAACGACAATGTCTTTCCCACGGATGCCAACCTGCACACATTAGCAAGAATGATTAGTCTGCATAGCTCCATATAAAATTAAGCAAATCTGTTATAATTTTTCTGAGATGAGCAGCCAGACTGTAATAAAGACGACCTGGAACGAAACCTGTTTGGCAACGTTAGCTAGCTGGGATAGTTGGCAGGTTAGCAACAACATGCAAGTCATGCTGGCCCCGCTGTGTAAGTAACGGGGTAGCTATCCTCTAACGATGTAACTAGCTAGCTTGAAAATGAGCAAGATGCTTCTTCACAGCTAAAGCTACAATCCATTGTCAGTTCGAATTCACAAAGCAACTGAAGTAGTTACGACTGGAAACCAAACGCAACTTCAAGTAGCTAGCTAACGTTAGCAAGTTAGCTAACTAGCGTGGCTAGTTAAGCTAGCTAGCTAATAACACTCACCGCAGTGGAGCCTTTTTTCACAGCCTCTTGCGCATATTCCACTTGAAACAGGTGTCCATCAGGGGAAAATACTGTTATAGCTCTATCATATCGGGCGGCCATCTCTAACCACTAAGAAAAGTTAAATAAATAAAAAAAATACGAAGGCTTCACCTGTTAGCTAAACAACCCGCTAAGGCTTTGGACCAATGACTGCTTTGGACTGGTACCAATTTGCGCATGCGCTTGTAGCGACGTGCTGAAGAGGCGGTGCTGTTGATTCGATCACCTCTGTTCCGCCAACAAAAACAAGAAAGACCTAGCAAGAATAGGGTGGACCTTATTTACTTCAAAGTAAAAGTCTGGAAATAAGATCGTGAAAAATAATACAAGTGGTCGAAATTCGTAACATTTTATGAGGAAATGTTAGCAGACTTAGTTTAACAATATGAAAAAAGGAATAAAGTTAATCGCCTTTATAGCACAAATTATATTATAGCATTGACATTATTGTTAACAGCATTAAAAGTAATCATTACTAGATAGTTATCATTGTAACAACAGTTATAAGGCTACTATTAATAATAATAATAGTAATAACAATAGTAACAATCTTGTGGACTTCAGGAGACAGCAGAGGGAGCACGCCCCTATCCACATCGACAGGACCGCAGTGGAGAACGTGAAAGTTCCTCGGAGTACACATCACTGACAATCTGAAACACAGACAGTGTTAACAGCGCCCTCTTCAACCTCAGGAGGCTGAAGAAATGTGGCTTGGCCCCTAAGACCCTCACAAACCTTTACAGATGAACAATTGAAAGCATCCTGTCGGGCTGTATCACCACCTGGTACGGCAACTGCACCCACCGCCCGCAACCGCAGGGCTCTCCAGAGGTTGGTGCGGTCTGCCCAACGCATCACCAGTGGGACACTGCCTGCTCTCCAGGACACCTACAGCACACGGTCACAGGAAGGCCAAAAAGATCATCAAGGACATCAACCACCCGAGCCACGGCCTGTTCACCCCGCTATCATCCAGATGGCAAGGTCAGTACAAGTGCATCAAAGCTGGGACGAGAGACTGAAAAACAGCTTCTATCTCAAGGCCATCAGACTGTTAAATAGCCATCACTATCCGGCTACCACCCGGTTACTCAACACTGCACCTTAGAGGCTGCTGCCCTATGTACATACTGTAGACATGGAATCACTAGTCACTTTAATAATGTTCACATACTGCTTTACTCATTTCATATGTATATACTGTATTCTACTGTATTTTAGTCAATGCCATTCCGACATTGCTCATCCTAATATTTATATTTCTTAATTCCATTATTTTACTTTTAGATTGTGTGTGTTGTTGTGAATTGTTAGATCATACTGCACTGTCGGAGCTAGGAACAGAAGCATTTCGCTACACACGCAATAACATCTGCTAAATATGTGTATGTGACCAATAATAGTTGATTTGATTTGAGTAATAATATTATTATAATAATTATAATAATCAACTTTAGAAAAACACTTTAAAATCCCATTGTTAATTAGCCCATATTCATATTGCACGATGTTCAGTACGTTTTTCATATTGGACATACTGCACCGTAGTACACAATTTCCTGTACGTTGTGTCGCAGTAAAAGGGGGGTCCATTCTAATCAGGAGCACTTCTAGTTTCCAAATCCACAGAGTTTACACCCAGAGGAGCGTCGCTGCTCATTTGGCGGCCCTTATAGAGTGGCCTATCAACTTAAATCCAATAGTTTTTTCATCTTGGACATACATATTGCCCAGTTCTACCATACATGTTTCTAATAATGAGCTGATTAGTAGAATCAGGTGTGGTAGAACGGGGCTTGAACATGAAGCCACCCCTGATACAAAGTACTAACAAATCACAAACTGCTGGGAAAAACCCATAAAAATATGAATAATTATTCAAGGACAGAAGGGGACAGTCAGTGGGGTAAGGACATGGTCAGATCAAGGACAGGAGGGGACTGCCAGTTGGGTTTAGTTTAGTTTATTAGGATCCCCATTAGCTACTGCACATGCAGCAACAACTCTTCCTGGGGTCCACATAAAGCATACAGTACAAATACATGACATGTCACGACTCCTCCAAAGCTGCCACCTCCTTGTTCGGGCAGGCTTCTGCGTTCGTCGTCACTGGCCTTCTAGCCACTGCCGCTCCTCATCTCATCATTCCATTTGTTTTGTCTTGTTTATTACACACACCTGGTTCATATCGCCTCATCAGTCCCTGTATAAGTGTTCCCTCAGCCCCCTTGTCTTTGTGTGTGATTGTTTATTGTGGAGGATAGAGAAGCTCGGTGGAACGCCGTGTATTTTGTTTCGCCGGGATATTTCCCCGTGTGCCTTGTATTTTACAGTGCATCTGTTTTGCGCACTGAAGTGTTTTGACGCAACACTGCGTAACTCTGTATTTCAGAATAAATCCTGTTATTCTGTGATTTACCCTCCTGTGCCTTACTCCTTCGAAATCACATGACAAATAGAAAAGAACAACATAAGATATTTATTATTATTGTCATTTAGCAGACGCTCTTATCCAGAGCGACTTACAGGAGAAATTAGGGTTAAGTGCCTTGCTCAAGGGCACATCGACAGATTTTTCACCTAGTCGGCTCGGGGATTAGAACCAGCGACCTTTTGGTTACTGGCACTATGCTCTTAACCACTAAGCTACCTGCCGCCCTCATATACAGTACAGTTAAATTAGATCTTTAGAAAGAGGAGAGGGCTGTGATACAATATGTTATTTACAGTGGGGGAAAAAAGTATTTAGTCAGCCACCAATTGTGCAAGTTCTCCCACTTAAAAAGATGAGAGAGGCCTGTAATTTTCATCATAGGTACACGTCAACTATGACAGACAAATTGAGATTTTTTTTTCAAGAAAATCACATTGTAGGATTTTTTATGAATTTATTTGCAAATTATGGTGGAAAATAAGTATTTGGTCACCTACAAACAAGCAAGATTTCTGGCTCTCACAGACCTGTAACTTCTTCTTTAAGAGGCTCCTCTGTCCTCCACTCGTTACCTGTATTAATGGCACCTGTTTGAACTTGTTATCAGTATAAAAGACACCTGTCCATAACCTCAAACAGTCACACTTCAAACTCCACTATGGCCAATGCAAATAAATTCATAAAAAATCCTACAATGTGATTTTCTGGATTTTTTTCCGCTCATTTTGTCTGTCATAGTTGACATGTACCTATGATGAAAATTACAGGCCTCTCTCATCTTTTTAAGTGGGAGAACTTGCACAATTGGTGGCTGACTAAATACTTATTTTCCCCACTGTATACACCTGTTCTGAAAGGCCCCAGATTCTGCAACACCACTAAGCAAGGGGCACCACCAAGCAAGCGGCACCATGAAGACCAAGGAGCTCTCCAAACAGGTCAGGGACAAAGTTGTGGAGAAGTACAGATCAGGGTTGGGTTATAAAAAAATATCTGAAACTTTGAACATCCCATGGAGCACCATTCAATGCATTATTAAAAAATTGAAAGAATATGGCACCACAACAAACCTTCCAAGAGAGGGCCGCCCACCAAAACTCACAGACCAGGCAAGGAGGGCATTAATCAGAGAGGCAACAAAGAGACCAAAGATAATCTGTCCATAGGACCACTTTAAGCCGTACACTCCACAGAGCTGGGCTTTACAGAAGAGTGGCCAGAGAAAAGCCATTGCTTAAAGAAAAAAATAAGCAAACACGTTTGGTGTTCGCCAAAAGGCATGTGGGAGACTCCCCAAACATATGGAAGAAGGTACTCTGGTCAGATGAGACTAAAATTGAGCTTTTTGGCCATCAAGGAAAACTCTATGTCTGGCGATAAACCCAACACCTCTCATCACCCCGAGAACACCATCCCCACAGTGAAGCATGGTGGTGGCAGCATCATGCTGTGGGGATGTTTTTCATTGGCAGGGACTGGGAAATTGGTCAGAATTGAAGGAATGATGGATGGCGCTAAATACAGGGAAATTCTTGAGGGAAACCTGTTTCAGTCTTCCAGATATTTGAGACTGGGACGGAGGTTCACCTTCCAGCAGGACAATGACCCTAAGCATACTGCTAAAGCAACACTCAAGTGGTTTAAGGGGAAACATTTACATGTCTTGGAATGGCCTAGTCAAAGCCCAGACCTCAATCCAATTGAGAATCTGTGGTATGACTTAAAGATTGCTGTACACCAGCGGAACCCATCCAACTTGAAGGAGGTAGAGCAGTTTTGCCTTGAAGAATGGGCAAAAATCTCAGTGGCTAGATGTGCCAAGCTTATAGAGACATACCCCAAGAGACTAGCAGCTGTAATTGCTGCAAAAGGTGGCTCTATAAAGTCTTGACTTTAGGGGGATGAATAGTTATGCACGCTCATGTTTTCTTTTTTTTCTTTTTTTATACATAGGGGGGTGAATACTTTCGCAATGAGTGACAATAAGGTAACAATAAACAAAATGGTACAAACCGTGAATGTTTCATGACAGTTTGTAGAAGGTCAAGACAAGCAAGTGGCTATTCCCTATTTTCACCTAAATTCTGCAAATTATTCTAATGAGGATATCCCTATGGCTTATGTTGAAATGCCTAATGAGCAAGGCACTGAGGACAAATCAGAGATTCTGGATTACCAGACGATTGTGGTGAGTTCAAATAAAGAAACTTCAGTAACAAAAAGCAATCAGACCTCAGACACCTGACTTTCAGGTTAACACTATTGAGTGTAATTTATTTGATGAAGAACTTGTGCACAATGACATTGCGACAGAGCGTGAATCAGATAGGCCTAACGTTAGTCAAATTGGTTTTGAAATGGTAGATGAAGAATGTAAAACTATTATTTCTGTAAGTGAGGACACCATGAGGTGTATTTTGTCAGATGAGGCTAATTATGGGGAATTCAAGCATGAAACTCCATCAAATTCCATGTTTACATTGACTCCAAATGAATGGGTTAAGATTCACTCACATATCTGGCAAGTATTTTTTTAAATTCACACTGGAGGGTACATTCGAGAAGAAAATAAAATATTCAAATTCATATTGCATATTTCCGTTACCATACAATTTCTATTGCAGAGAAAAGGCGTTCTAAGAAGCCATATCTTAACATTAATGGATCCCACACATTCCTCATGCAATTGATCATTCACCGTAGTTATGTTGACAAAGGATACTTTGAACTTTAGGGTTGCGTATGAAGGCAATATAGCACATGAAGGACATGTAATCAAGCCTA